CCGCTGAGCCCGCTCTGTCATTTTCCGTGTCCTACCACTTCGTGGCTGAGTTGCTGTTGTTCCCAATCACTTCCACTTTATTATAATACCGCTGACAGTTGACTGTGGAATATTTAGTAGCGAGGAAATTTCACGACTGGACTTGGCATCCTATCATGGTACCACGCTGGAATTCACTGAGCTCCTGAGAGTGACCCATTCTTTCACAAATGTTTGTAGAAGCAGTCTGCATGCCTAGGGTGCTTGGTTTTATACACCTGTAGCCATGGAAGTGATTGGAACACCTGAATTCAATGATTTGGATGGGTGAGTGAATACTTTTGGCAATGTAGTGTATTCTATGATGGCTTCGACCAGTCTGGCTCGGCCTGAGACTTTAGCGGAAAAATGATCCGTTTCATAAATGGAAATTCCTCATGGCTCAATAAGCCCTGTGCAATGAGGAGCGTCTGTATTTTCACATCATCACTTATATAATCAGTATTGATTCTCAATCATATTAGGGCCTTGGGCACACTTGATCTTTAACTAGACTTGTTTCTTGGGTTACAAGTAGGATAGATATAGATGTTTTTTCACAGCACTACTGGAAAAGGCCTGGTGTTAAGTGCATTGCTTTTAAAAGGTGCAGCTCTTTGACACTAAGTCAATATCCATACATTCAAACTAACAACCCTCAGGTTCCAGTTATGGAATATAACCTATACCCCAGTGCCAACCTGTTCTAATACATCTGAAGCTGAACTATGATATTTTCTCATGCCTTTAAGGCTGCCTCTCTGAGAGAGCCCTGCTCACAGAGAGTGAATGGGCTAAGCGAGACTAAGCGAGATTAGACCAACTGTTGCATGCCATGCACGTCGGTCCACAGGAGATGAAGAGGAGAGATAGTGTGTATGTACTTCACGAACAACATGAATCATTCTCTGTGGGAGATTGGCTTGGAGTGCCTGTGTATATATGCGTGCATGTCTGTGTATGCGTGTTTTGTAGATTTTCAGAACAAAATGGTCCTCACTTTGTAAAGCTTTTCACAATAGCTATATGATTCTTTTTTTTTAAATTAAAGGGACAAAAACATGTTTCTCTTTATAGGGTTAGGCTTAGACAGTTCTTATTACATGCAAGTACATCTCATCTCTGTCCTAACAAAACACAGAACTCAATTTTTGTTTTGTTTTTTTTTTTTCATTTTTTTTTTTTTCACCCTTTGCAACATCTGGTCATTACACTCTGTGGATATTTCATCATCATGTCAATAGAAAAGGTCCAAAATGCTTTGGAACAAAATCTTATATGAGCATGAATTAAACAGACATATTTTACTCTTTTTTAATTTAGTTTAGTTCAGAATCTGAATTGGCCTAGATTGGAATCTTTCAGAATTTTTCTCAAAACATAAATCGGCCAGTTCATTATGAATATTTTTACAGGCCTGTGTTGCAATTTTATGACATAAATAACATGAACCAGGTAAGCGAACTCATGCTGCATCCGAATGTTGCTGCTACTGCTACAACTATATCAAAATGTCATATATTTACTGATTTATTACTGATATTCAGATTTAAAACTGAACAGTTTTAAAAGAATGTTGTTTACAGTGCAAGTTTAGCTAATAAAAAGTACTGAAAATGTGGTAGTGTGACGTTTGGATAACAAAAGGCTGATACAAATTGGCCAATCAACCATCATCCAGTTTGGCTGTAAAGAAATTGGAATCACCCATAAAAATTCATAATCAGTGCATTCATAATCAATTTGGACAGCTAACACTAGCTTTGGTAGGCAGATGTTTTGACACTGTTGTTTGTTTGTAAGTGAATTTTTCTGACAAATATTACATTTTACATTGTTTTCCACCTTTTTCTTTCCAAAGTGAAATACACGATTTCTCAGATGGCAGATACAATGTCAAGTAACATATCCAATGAATATAGAAAGTCTACATCCCCCTGTAAAAATGGCAGACTTTGTGATGTAAAAAAAAAAAATTAAAGACAAGATACATATCAGAACGTTTTCCACTTGTAACGTCAAACTGCAAAAGTTATTGGTGATTCCTTCCACCTTAATAAAAGCCCCAGTTCTGGCTCAAGAAAAGCAGCCCAAAAGCATGTGGAAACACAGCCACATTCCCAATTCTAAACTTATGCAATAGACTCAGATCCTGAACCAAGAAAGTCAGCTCCTTTGTAAGGCTTATGGCCCTAAGGGATTACAGGCTCATGGAAGCCCTCCTGAGAGCAAGAAAGCTCAGGACAGAATTCTTCTAAAAGCATCATAAAAGGGGTCTGTCTCACCCCAACCTTACATAGAAAACATGCTGTATTTTATGTTTAAGACAAGTATGATGAGAGTGGTGAGACTGGATCATCAACCCGAACTCCCATACGGAAGGAGAACCAATCAGCATTGAGGAATAGATGTGACAGGAGCTGAGACACTTCCCACGCCTAAACCCCATAAAAGTCACAGCACGTCAAGTTTTCTTCAAAGTTGCGATTTGGAGGTCTTCCTGGTTTCCAATCATCAACGGAGGAATCTGAATTTTCGGCTCCAACCCTTAGGTTGAATGCAGTTTGACCTCAGTCCAATTCTTACTCGTCAGAAGACAAGAAAGTGCATACAAACAATTGACTGATGCCACAGGCTGGGCCCAAGTTACTGAACCCACTTTTGAGTGTAAATATATAAGCTTTTCTCTGCTTCTGTTCCAATGTGTTGTATGTCTCAAACTATTTTGTCCTGATGGACTGGTGCCCCACTTATGAGTAATAGTAATCATTTACCCACAACTCCCACAAACATGAGTTACAATGTCATTGATTGATTCTGAACACAGCCACATTCCCAATCCTAAACTTGTGCAACCAGGCTATTGTAAGTTTTTTTACCTGAAAATATTTCTGATTGTTTTTCACTGTAATTTATAGGTTGCAATCTCACACTGAATGTGGCAAACGTTCTGACATAATTTATCTTGGTTGAATTGTTTATACAAAAACTTGCCATTTTTACAGGAATGTGTAGATATTTTACATCCACTGTATGTAACTGATCTGGGAAAATGCAGTTTTATTCACTAGGTCTCCTCTAAATCCTTCTCCCATAAAGTTACCATTTCTGAGGTTTTGTTACGATGGTAACAATATATCTATGAGACAAATGAGACATATGTATGACCCCACGTCCGGACATTGCATTAAAAATATAAGCACTAGAGATGACCCCTATTCTGCCATAATAATGGAGTGGTAAAGGAGTAATAAAAAGGAGAACCTCTTGTTCAGTATCACAGACCACTGTGTCAGCTTTACTCTTGCCTGTGGCCTATCAGCAGGCTACAGAACTGCCTTGCTCTGATTGTTAGGTCCGCCAAGGGCGAGTCCATCTTTTTTTTTTTTTGAGACTCTAGCACTCCAAGGCTAGTGCTATGGTTAGAAATTTTCCAGGGGACTGTGCACTTTTTCAAACTTGAGTGTTTGTTTCTAGTTGTGCAAGATGCAGAACTAATTGGATACCGCAAGATAAGAGCTACTGGCCATGTCCTTGTATATACTTTCTAAATCTAGAGAAATAAAAGTACTCTTGGCTGCCTGCTAGAAGATTCTGGGAAAGAAGTGTGTTTCTCTGCTGTGGGTGTCTCTCTGCAGACTAGACTAGGGCAATTTTTCCACATTGCTTCATTTAAATGTCCATTTTTGCCCATGTTTTACCACATAACTGATTTCAAACATCTTTTATTAAATGGCAACTGAGCAAAAACAAAAAACAACACATATCATCCAACATTTCGAAACCGTTGTGCACCCACCACCACTGACATTCAGTGACGTTCAGCACTACTCAGACATGCTGATGGTCTATTTTCTCAGCTAACGTTGCTACCTAGACACACCCTAACTCATTTCACCTTGTACCTTTTAGCTCGAAACACCAAGTGACATTGCGCTCATCAGATTTCTGATTGAATCATTTTTTAATTATTGTAAGTATTATAGTAATGCATGAGTGTTAAGCTAATTAGCTTCTCATTTCTCTTTACATAATGTTCACCTCAGCTACTTCCAGGAGTGGATAATTTCATCAGAACCCTGCTACAAAAGACCTATGATCATTTCCCATTTCTCCTGCAAATGAGAGAACTCTCGGCCTATCCTGAGGACCACTGCTGCCTCGCTTTGTTCTAGTGTTTAATAATCTTTTGTCTGGAAGAAGTTTATCAGGGGAAGGTAATCGAGTGGTTGCAGGGCCCCCCTGTGCTCCTGATTGTTAGCAGTGTATGACTCTGAGCCATTATACCTGTGCAGAAGCGCTACTGGAAAATTGAAGCCCCCTAAATAAATTTGTTCCTAAAGTGGGATTAGGCTCACCGTTACTCTGCTTTAATGAGGCTGAATCAATGGAGCATTGCACCCACCTGAAATCCCCAATGGTTTTCACCAGCGCTATTCCTTCAAACCTAAAATCCTCTAGCCTATTAGTGCAGCGGCGGTGAGCCACAGTGAGCAGGGGGAAAGGGCTGTGATGCAGACAGAGACGCCTGCCACCCCTCTCCATGCTCTCTGGCCTCTTCTCTGCCTGATTTAGTACGGATTATAGCCACCTCGCTCACCCCCCGCTCTGAGCTCATTTCACTGCCCGCCTGCCATGCACACTTCAAGCCAAATCTGTTTGCTTTAAATACATGTTTTGCCACGTAGATGGAGTTGCTGGCGGAGGTATTAACCAAGAGGAGAGCCTCTAGATTGGCATAATTGGCTTGCTCTTTTTCGTGCTGCGTTAAGAGTCTCCTGTCCTAAACGTACTTGGAATGTTTGAGGCAATCAAAGCAAATGATGTGGTGGGGTTACGACTTTCGAGAGGAAAATTGGCATCCGCGTGTCCCTTCTGAGGTTTATTGCGTAGTGCAGACGTGAGGCTGACATTTCGATCACTGATTTGGTTTCCTTTAAGCCACAATTAACTTTTTTTCTTTTTTCCTTGTTCTGTTTCAGCTGGCAGTTTCAGGGAGGACCGTCACAATTTGACATCACTGCTGGTTCAGCCAATCTCTGCCCACCTCGCCAAAGTGCTGCTATCCGCTCCTGTCCCGGGCTATGACCAACCCTGCGTCCCTCTGGCCATGCCGTCGTCTGCCTCAGGTAAGCCTGAGGCTAACTACACCACCATCGACACCTCACAGCTGACCCCTAATACATTGCTTTAACCCTTGTAGAGAGAATTGATTCCAATGTGGGTTTAGGGGTCAGAATGACCCAGCTGTAAATCTCCGCAGTTTTGCAGTGAATATGACCATCTATGTATTTGCCAACTTGGGTTGTTTAGAGCAGTTCAGAGAAATATTTCAAATAAAACTCTTCTTGCTTTTTTTTTACTCTTGTCAAGTGGCCATAAATCTCCAAAATCACCATTGATTTCACCTTTTTATACCATTATTAAAGCCGGTGTTGTCATAAACAAAAAGACTGCACTGTCATTTTTTATATGCACCCAAAACTTTTTCTATATTGAACCCAAAAAACTAGTGAACTAGTTTACATTGTAACAAAAATGTCACTATGGGATGGAAGGTGATGTTATAAAATATTTCACTACATTAAATACTTATTTTCTATGGTTATACACTCAGGCCAGCCTGAGTACTTTGAATCCTCAAGTATTCATTCAGTTTGTTGGTATTTGTTTTTCTACTTAGTATTAATTTCTCTATTTAGTAGGGATGTGCATGTGTACTTGAGTACTTGATTAACCATCAAGGTGCCACTCTTTGAATACTGAAGTCACTATTTGGGTATTTGTTACATTTCATCATGGGAACAAAGAGAAAATATACAGGCTAACTATTCAGTGAAACACAATGCTTGCTACTCTGAAACACCCAGGCTTGAATGTGTGTTGTCAAGGACTAACAAGGTTAGCTACTATAGCTGATGTTATCTAGATCTACAGACAGTGACAATATATTTCTTTGACTAATAACATGTTGGTGCATCGTCCACTGAGGAGAAAATACTTGTGTAGAAGACAATGAGTCTTCACAGGCACTAGTTAACACTGTTAGCTCACTGGCTCTTCTGAAGAGGCAGCCTCAGTTAGTCATCCAACATGAAAAGCTATTGATGTCCAAAGCTTAAAGACTAAAGATACCTCAGAAGTAAATCTCACTCCTTTTTTTTTACTTGTGCCTGTATTTCTGGATTTTGATTTTTGCTCTGACCTTTTTTAGTTTCACTTGCTGTTTTTCTTTCTTGTTTAATCTTTCTGTCCCTGGTGTTTGCGCTATGCCTCATGTTTTCATGTTACTGTTTTTTGGTATTGACCCTGGCCTGTCTCAGCGGTATGTATTTGGATTGCCCTTTTTTCATTAAAAGCCGTTTTTTCAAGAAAAGGATGACTAAAAAATGCTTCAAAAATTATTGTTCAATTATGATTGGATGATTTATGAAAATAATTATTTGAAAATACTGTTCATATTTAAAATACTGTTTCAGGGCTGTGGCCAGCCCTAACATACACAAATAAAGGATGTTTGCAGGCCATAGCCATCCTTTTGTCATTAACCAGAAGATATGAAATCTACTGCATTATTGATTTGTAAAGCTCCCCCTTCCTCCCTTTCTCTTTCACTCATTCAGTCTCTCACACATGCACAAAAACAAAATTTTATACTTCTTCTAAATAGCAATCATATAAATGTGTGTATACATTGACCTCAAGTCTAAAATAACAAGATATTAGCACAGCTTTCAGAAATCAATTATATTATAAGAAGCACGAATAAACATTGTTAACAATACAGCAGCATTATTTACACATACCTGTCTAATTCATAAGCTGGGGTTAAAATGGAATATATTGCAGTCAGTTTTCAGTGTCACAGAAGTCACACCTCCATGAACCATAAGTTAGTATGTTACAGTGTTTGCCACTGTAGCCAGGATCTGTTTAGACTCTTTGATCTCTATAGACTCTATATCTTCCAAGGGCCTTCAGCACTTGGGCGAGCCCTGCGTCTCAGCAGTTTTTGTGTATGGGAAAAATGAATAGCTCGTTTAAATATCACCCTATCACTATCTAACTGACGGATGTCCTTTGTCCTTAATTCATTTTACCATAAATATCAATGTCATTTGAAGTGAAAGATCATTAAGTAGTAAAAAAGAATCCTTGATATCTATGTTACATGCAAGCTAACACTCGTGTTATTATTTGGCAGGGTAAGCCTAAAAACCTCACCTAAATGGCCAAAAAAGGCAAGCTCTATCAAGTAACTGTGACAGATGTAAAATATTAATTGAATAGCTGGTGTTGTGTAATAGTGTTATAGTCATATAACGTCCAATAATGTTAGTTTGCCTGCAGCATGTTTGTTGCAATAATTGTATTTTAACAGTTTAATGATTTCATAATTTAGAGACACATTTTTGTTTACCAGATGGAGTTGTAGAGGTGATTCCACCCAAAACAGCTTAGAAACTAATCTCTAATTTGGCCATGTTCCTGGCTACGAAATAATGTACAGTAGGCCTGTGTCTTATTACACTCTTATCAGTCTATATAATCTTATTATACTCATGTTTCAGCTCAAACCAAATGTAGTCTTAAGAGTATGGTTGGGCAGTATAATCATAATAAGGTATACCACAGTATTGCAAAATAATGACAGTATTTCAAAATGAAGACACGTTAAATTTCTATTCCATGTTTTGACATCTAAATAAACGCATTGTACTTTAAGAGGGGCTCACTGATTGGTGGTGAGGGAGCTCACTAATAGGTGGTGCTGATAGAACAAGGGGGAAATCAGATCCAGCAAAAACCTCAGAAAAATTAAACATGATAGTGGTTCAGGTAACACAACACGTTTGATTTTGGTTGTACTATAAAGGCCCTAAAACACTGAATGCAACATGAATTAACAATACAAGCATGAAATATTAACAACATTTTCGCATAAAATGATACTCACCAGACACCATTTTTTAGGAATTTTGCCCCAGTTAGTCAGATTCAAACCTGTGCTGTGGTGTGTGGCACTGTTTGGGTTTATAATCTGCTCGCTAAGCTGACATTCAGTTAGTCAATGAGGCTACAGATCCACATCCCATGGAACAAGTTCTATTTCATCTTTTTGTCCCATCAGTGCCAGCTGCACAACTTCACTCCATAAGATTTGAATCATTACCATCTAAACATGTGTCAGTGCTTTAGTTAGCCAGGCGCAGTAATATTTGGAGATGGTTTGAAGGTTGATACATGGATTTAAACTGCAGTCACCAGCATGCAAAGCCATGAATTTACACATTACACTAGTTAATCACCATGTAGTATGTGGTAATGACTCTTTAAGGTTTGCTTGTTCATAACAACCATATTGTGGAATGTGACGCTTTCTTAAAGAGATTATCCGTGCTTTATTCCATGCTGTGGTGGTATCTCCACAGGCGGTTGATACTGCACCAGAGGGGAGTGCCAAAGAGTGATGAATCTCATGGAACCCATACCCACTCACAGGCTCTATTGCCAGGGTGAGACTAAGCTTCATCTCACTGAAATGGATCTTGACAAATGGCAGAGGAAAGATGAAATACAGTTAGGGCACTTGTACAGTTTGAGGCCAAAATGGCAGGGACTGTTTAGTATTTAGTAGTGTTTAAATACTTGTTTTTACAGTAGATTTTGTCGTAAGCCTCCCCCATCCCCAGAGAATAGATTAAACAGTCATACTTAAAGTAAATCTTCTTTCGTCTTAGAATCAAGTTGACTCAGTGTGTATATTTGTTTGTACCTCTTTAGGAAAAAGGAGGCAGACACTTTTAGTGACTAAGCTGTGACTCTTCTGGTGACTAAGCCCTTGATTCACCATTCTGTCTGACTCCAGATAGATGCCCAGATCTAGGCTGCTTGTGCAGTAACTCTCTTTACATATGTCAGTGGACTTACTTCTCTACTCACAAGTAAGCAGTTAGCTTCCACATCACTGACATTCGATTTTGCTGCACGTAAATACTGTCCTCTGTTTCTGGAAACAGTGAGAAGCTTTCTGCTCCAGAGGCCAGGCATGTGAACAGCATGCTGTTATCTCGTTTTATATTCCTGATCAAAGTACCTCCAGACTGGATCATGTGGGTTCTTCATATTACTGTTTCACTACACTCATCACGCCTGGCCGTGTCCACACTCATTACATGTCACTCGGCAAAGACTGCTGGAATGACTACTTAGGAGGCTTAATTGAATCTATGAGTGGGTGGTTAGTCAACTACATTACAGATTCCGCCTGTAGCGAGCTCTGTAAGAGGTCAGATTTAACAAGGAATGGTCACCAGTGCTGCCACATGTGTTTCTAACTCACTGAAGATGACTGATTGAGAGTGGCATTCATAGCAGTATAATTGAATTGAAATGGGCAAACCCACAGTGAAAGGTCGTTGTTCAAATGAAACAGTGTTTTTAATCTAGCAGTGAAAAATCTATAGAGAGTGCAACATTCATTTGGTGGTTACAGCATCTTACCCTGGTGGTCTGCCTCAGATGTTTATCAGCTATCTTAGCGTAATTTGTCAAAACGACGTCAGCGTGCCTCAGTGTAAGGCCTTGACCAGATCTTGATTTATGAGTAAGGTGGCAATTTCTATGTTGATAGAAAAAGATAAATTAAGGTAAACGTTGGGATTCAGTGCCCTACCGCCATTGCTGTTGAGATTTCACAATGCACCACAGTCAGATCAGTGTGAAATGGGGCTGCACTATATATATATATATATATATATATATATATATATATATATATATATGATGCAATGTATATATATATATAGCATAGATGGAGGCCCAGATGGGGGTCTTGCTACTGTATTGCAATACATTACACATATTGCAGTAATATTTACAGTAGCAATAAAATAGCAATGCAGTTTGGTAATATGAAGAAAATTCAACCAACCAACCAATTTCAACCAATGCTTTAGTAACCAGTTAAAGAAGGTGTATTACTACATGTTCGAGCGATTTTGAGAGCATAGTTATGTTTACTTCTAAAAGTTCAAATGATAAATCATTCTCTCCACAAATGTCCATGTGCAAAATTATTCAACCCCCAAAGTCAGTATTTTGTGGCGCATCCTTTACACTTTATAAC